GTGAAGGGGGTGTGATGCTGGGGGACACCATGTGGAGACACCAGCAGTGCAGCTGGACACAGGCTCTGCTCTGCTGTCCACTGGCAAAGCAGAGGATGGGCAAGTGGCTCCCATTTGCCAGAAGACTCTGCTCCCAGATCAGAGAGCTGAGGGGTAGAGGCTTTTTGTGATTCATCTTAACGGTGGGTAAAAATTCCTTCTCTGGAGGCTGAGGCAGGAGGATTGTGTGAACCCAACCCTTCCAAGTCAGCCTGGGCAAAATAAGTCTGCACCTCAAAAAATTAAATAAATAAAAAAAAATAAAATTCCTTCCTTTCTGAAATACACTCTGTGTAAAGTGTGTTATCTGTCACAGGTCACAGTCAACAGAAATGCTGCATGTTTATACACGGGGAAAAAAACAGAAATGAAAGCAAAGGAAAAAAGCCCGCCCCCTGTCATGGGGAGAACACCGCTGCGCAGCCTCCTCTGTGACCTGGCTGGCAGGCAGGAGAGCAACGGCAGCTCGGACGCTGGACAGAGCAGGAGCAGGAGGGACAGAGCCAGAGGCACTGGACAGGAGCTCTGCCGGGTCACGGCTGCGGCACCCGCGTGGCGGGCCTCACTGCCCTGCCCCGTCTGCAGCCACCTCCTGCCCCAGCACGACGTGTCTGAGCGCCCCCTGTCAGGCAGCTGGTCTTGGCCTTGGCATCAGCGTTCCTGCCCCGTAAGGATGGCTCCTGGCCTGGTCTTTCCCCAGCACCGCGGTGTCGCCCTGTGACCCCCTCAGGCCCCACAGGCTCTGTGCAGCCCAGCACACCAGGCCTCACCGGCAGCTTCTGCCGCCGCCGCTCGCTTTGCTCTTGGCTGGCCCGTAGCGTGTCCCAGGCTCCACATGGGCTCCGAGTGGCCCTGCTCCCTGTCCCTGAACTCCACGGTCACCGCTGGCCACAGGTCTCAGCAAACAGCTATCGCAGGGGAATCCCACTCAGGCAGAGCCATCCACAGTCACCACATTGGAGCCTCATTTTCAAAATGACCTCTTCCAAAGAGTTACATCAGAGCAGGTTGTGTCCTCCCAAGCCTGGAGCTGCGTGAAGTCACAGAGCCCTGACCCGGCGTGGAACTGTGGAAATGTAAGTCTGCCTCTGGAACAAAGGAGCCTGCGTTCACACGCAGCTTGGGTGTTTGCAGGACTATTCCATGCTGCTGCAGGGAGAGAAGGCACGGGCAGGTGGCCACGAGTGGGGCCACACTGTGGCTGAGGAGACGATGAGCCTGGGGCGAACAGCAGCTCGCTGAGGGACGTGGCAGCCTGGGGACCACAGGCTCACGGCACCCTGGGTCTGAGGGCCACACGTCTCCAGGGAGACCTGGCTGTTCTCTCTGCACTAAAACCGCTCAGATCAGATGAAACCCAGTGAGTGACGGCTTCAGTCTCGATTTTAACTGAAAACCTGTACTTCACGCCATCTATCATAGGGTTCCAATAGCGTCAAACACGGAAGAACACACAGCAGGGGTGTAGTTCAGATGAGCCTGGTACGCATGAGGCCCTGGGCTCTTCTCCAGCACCAGAGCAGACAAACCCTCTCCAAAGCGAACAGAAACAAACAATACAGTACACGTGTGTAAACAAAATGGTACGAAACCTGAGTGAAGTTTAAGGTATGGCTCCTGGTGAGCTATACTGGTAAATGCATATATTTCATATCTTTTAAAAAATAAAGCAAATTCTTTTTAAAAAGAAAACTTTGAAGAGTATCTGGAGGAAGAAACTGTAAATGAACAAATGCACAAGACAGAAGCTCATTCTCTGCTGGTCTTGAGCACAGCACGTCCTCAGGGCAGAGGAGAGAAGGCTCTTCAGTTTCTCTGACTTTCAAGCTCCCCACTTCTCTCCTTTCTTTTAAGGCAGCTCGAGGTATGACTGACATGCAAACAGCTGTGTTTATTTAATATATACAGCTGGAGGGGTTTGAGACAAGTAACTATCCATGAAATCACCATCATAATGTACACCATAAACTTATCTTTCACCTCAAATCTTTCCCTGCCTCCTTATGTGCTATTATTTTTGGAATGTGATAAGAACAATTAACATATAGTAAACAATTAACAATTAACATAGTAAATTTTAAACTAAACTTTAATTTAATCTCTAGGACTGAATTTTCTTGCATAACTGAAACTTGGTAAAAACCAAGGCAGGGAGTGCTTGCATTCTGAGTCTAACCCAGCAGTGTGCAGTCAGCGTAGACCACGTGGTGCCCCATGGCACGCGCGCCGCAGCAGGCTGTTTTTAATCACCGCAAGCTCGAGAAGCTTTGCCGTTTCTGGTGTGGACACAGCCCAGGAGCCCCTGTGGGAACTGCTGCTGGAGCACAGCAGCCCGACACGCAGGACAGGCCTCCTCTGTCCTCCCCCACCTGCTTTGGGGCCTGGGCTTCCCCCATTCTCATGAGGCTCCTCACACACCACTGGGAATCCAGGGCACCAGCCTGTCTGTGAGGGGAGGTGGCTAACACCACCCACCACGGCACACAGGAGATTCAGATGCTAATGTGTATTTCCTTATGTGGATTGAGAAACGTCAGAGCATACTGGAACATGCTTATCATTCTAGCCCTCAATGAGAGGCTGAGGCAGGATTGAAAGTTTGAACTCAGTCTGGGCAATGGGGTAACTTGGTGAGGTCCAGTCTCAATATAAAAAAAGTGGTTAGGGATGTATCTTCATGAAAAGGCCTTGGGTTCAGTCCCCAGCACACACAAAAAAGAAGGAATTAAGAAACAGCTAATTGTTTTTGACCCTGAGACATCGCTACAACCTAAAACGGCCAAATGTAACGTCTACAAAAGTGTCTACCTGTCAGCAGCTGCATTACTCGTGAATGCTCACAATGCTGGTAAGCGAACAGTGGACACCTGAGTGAGTAGAAGGCTAGACAAATTGTCAGGAATCACAGAATAAATATCTCATAAACTCTACTTTCAGGCACAATTAATATGTAGTTCAGAGACATCAGGCATTCTGGGACATTACCGATCCCACACAGAAATTCATAAATATGTAACTGAAGGAAGAAGACAGCAGAGAACAGTGGGACCCACTGAAGCTCCACATGAGGTGCACCAGCAACCCTGCAGGCACCAACGCACAACCCTTTTCTTAAACCGCATTTGTTACCAGCAAAAATGACAATGAAGTAGGTCCTCGGAGCTGTGAGGAACGAACAGCCTGCAGCTTCTCCAGGACATATTCTGGGCGCTGCCCTAGTGAATGTCTGCAGGGAGGGGGTGGGGCTGACCTGGTGCGGGGTTGGGGGGCTGCCGGGTGTAGGACACGTTGAACGCGGGCTCCTCAAGCAGTGGCGGTGGGTACAGGCGCCTTCGGATGAAGAAGCCAGCTCCGCAGCAGAAAAGCACACCCATCATCAGGAGGAACCTGGGGAGAGGCAGACATCAGTGGGGTGCAGACAGCTAGGGCCTAGCCTGGGGTTCACAGGGCCCAGGCTCCTGGGGATCCAGAAAACCAACTCCAGAGCAGGCCATGGGGCAGCGGAGCTCACCGTCAGGAGCCCCGGCACCCCAGACTGAGAGCTCTCTGGTCCACCTGTCCCAGGAGCACTTCCTTCCCCTGCCTCGGGAGAAGGCCCCGGCACACGACTCCCGGGCTGTCCCTGGGGTGGCGGCCACCAACACGGAGAAGCTCTGTGAGTGAGGCCTCCAGCTCGGATCGCTCCAGACGGCTAGCTGGCCTCAAAGGGTTTGTGCAGCTGCTTTCTGGTGCAAGGCTGTGCCACCTGACTGTACACCCGACTCCTGGGGAGGTGGCCGGACCACTGGCGCGCTGCGCTCACGAGTGGACTAACCCTAAGAGCTAAGAGCTGTAAGCAGGAGGACGAGGGTCACAGGGGGCCTTTGGAGGCTGCCCCTCTCAAGTGCTCTTCCCTCGGCTCTGTCTCTAGCAGCCCAGCAGCGGGCTGCTCTGCTCCACCTGCCTCCCACCGTGACACTCCACCTCGCTGAGACCACAGCAGCAGAACCCACTGTGGTCACAGACTGATCCCTCTGACACCACGAGCCAAATACCCGCGTCCTCCCTTACGCTGTGTGCCAGGCATTTTGTCCCAGCCAAGGAAGGCTGGTGCCTCTGACCTCAGCTCAGTGTTTCAGTCTAAACGGAAGATGCTGCCCAAATTGTCTTAATATCACAGCTGCTCCAGTCTTTGCATCACTATTCACTTTCTCTCAGTTTTCATTCTTCACTGTCAAGGGCATGAGGGTGAGGACATTTATAGTTCCTACCAGATGTTTCCATTTCATCTGAAAATCTATAAAGGACAAAAGTACCCCTCCTGGAGCACACCATAGTTATAAAGATGTTATGGGAATTACAGAAAACACAATCAATAAAAAGCTGAAAACCAAATTTCTCAACTGAAAATCTGGAAAATTCTAGGTTCTAAGTATACCTGGGTTCAAGATTCTCCATCTCGACTCTACCGTCTACTGATGGTGTAGCCGAGTCCTTTAAGGGTGAGACCTCTGTCCCACTCATTCAAGAGCCCTTGTCGGCTCTCACACCATCAACGATTGTGGAGTGAGTGAGGGACGACCTCCGCCCTTTCTCATTTGCACTATACCTTTTGTTTCTAGAAAAGAACAGAGTCTCTCTGAGAAGGAGATTGTGTCCAGTAATAATGGACAACAGTGACAGATGCATCCGAGAAACTCTTGGCCATCTCAAGCATACAATGTGATGGCACCCGGAGGGTGTGCCCAAGCCTTGTACACCAACCTGCACTCTGGCAGGAGACTGTGACCCTACGCAGGGTGAGCCGGAGCTGCTCGTGGCCAGTGCTCCAGCCCACACAGAACAACCTTGAGACACAGTGGGTGGTGAAGCCTTTGAGAAGGCCAGCACGACGCTAAGTGACAGTGTTGCTGGATGGCCTTCGAGTGTGGAACAGAGAGAAAAACTGGACGCAGAGGAATGGCTCAGGGAAGGGCTGGAGTTAGTGCCTCTGTGTTCTGGTTTAGCTTTCACAATTCATCACCAAGTGATTGTTAGCACCTGTGAGGCTCCCAGGACCATGCTGAGCATGATATTGTGGAAAACAGGAGGGTTCCACCCACCCCACTGAACTTAGCTTTTAAAAGGGAAGGGGGACAATTAGTGGCAAATGTACACAATGATTTATTTCTAACACTGGTAAGTGCCAAGGAAGAAAACAAAGGATGCAAAAATAGGTTCTGCATGTGTCTGTGTGACAAAAAATACTGTATATGACGTAGAATTTACCATTTTAGTCATTTTTAAGTATACAGTGCAATGCACAGAGGTTCACACAAGGGTATCTATGTAGTGAGGAGATCAGAAAGGTGTCTCTTATTCAGTGACAGCCAAACTGGGTACTGCAGGACGAGAAGAAGGAAACAAGGGGGAGGGCAGGGAAGGAAAGTCTGGGTGGGAAGAACACACACGAAAGGGAGCCATGGGAGGAAAAGCTCAGGGAAGAGGCCAGCAGAAAGGCTCTGTGGCCGGAGGAGGAGCAGGAAAGACCGAGTCCCGGTGGCTGGAAGGAGCCAAACTGCTGAGCTCATAAAGGGAGCAGATTTTCTCTTAAAACTAACCTCCCCTGGGTGAAGTCAGAGACAAACTTACCCTTACCACTAAGTCCAGCCATAGCTATCTGAGTAGAAATAGCAAAGCACAGAGGTCAGGTGTGTGCACATGTTTACTTTCTCAGGAAACCCAGCTCCTAGACTACAAAACACAGTCGTTTAAAATCAGGTCTCTTCCCTGAGAAGAACCAAGACATTGGTCAGAGGGAACGTGTTTCCCTGGATGAAAATGACACTGCGGCTCACACCTTAGACTAACAGGGAACAGGCAGAAGGTGAGGGGACCAACTGTGACTTCGTCACCTGACTCAATCTGCACTGAAATGTCTCAGAGCTTCATTTACAGAGAGGACTCAGGAGGGGGAGAAGAATGAGCTGCTAAGGACGCGGGAGGGGCCGCAGTCGGTGGGAAAGGCGTGGCAGGAAATGTGAAAGTCGTTCTCAACGGCGTGAGCTGCAGAGCCCCACCCTCCATGCACTCTCTCTTGCTACCCAGATGGTTCTGGAAGGTTTCTAGGGATTAGCAGAGGAAGTCGTGCACTTTTCCTATCATCAGAGGTGATGTGGTTTCTTTTATTCAATTTCTTCCGTGACTCTTCCCTGTGCTGTGTCCAGCCCAAGCACAGCAGTTCTCAGTGCTGCACGTCCTGCGGATGGGTGGAGCAAACCCTGCTGCCCACAGCCCAGTGCAGAGCCAGCAGCAGGCTCACCCACAGGCCCCTGCAGGTCTTCATCCAGGCTCTGCGTGCCCTGCACTTGGAACCAAGGCTGCTGCCAGCCTCCTCCTCTAACCCTGACCACTGCACTCAGACCCTCCCTGGTGAAAGCGTCCTCAAGATTTTGGAGCTGGCAGGGACTGGAGTGCTCTCCCTCAGACCTTTTGTTTGTGTTTGAGCCCAGGGCTTTCTGCACTGAGCTGCATCCCCAGCTTGTTTTACTTTAAATTTATTTTGAAACAGGGTCTTGCTAAGTTGTTAAGTTACTCCAGGCTGAGCTGGCATTTGCTATTTTTCTGCCTCAGCCTCCCAGAAGGCTGAGATTACAGGCCACGCCACACTGACTACCCCTTGTTTTATGGTGAGAAGACAGACACCCCCCAAGCCTGGTGACAGCAGGCTGTCCTCCCCATTTAGCCCTACCCTTTCCCCTCCTGCCGTGCCTCTCTCTCCCTGCACCCAATCTCCCGGTGCGCCCATCCCTGCAATGTGCTCGCCACTCTCTCTGAAGATCCACTCAGAATCTCTGAGCTCTTCCCAACTTTGCTGGCACAGAGCTGCTGTGCGGTACGCACAGCTCTGGCTTGAGCTGAACCTGTGGCTGCCTGCTTAGGCATCCAGAGCCCTGCTGCCGTGAGGGCCTCCCAGGAAACACCAGCAGAACACTTGGTGCATATCAGGCACCTGACGCGTACTGAGAGAAGGAAGCTGTGGAGCAGAGTCCAAGTGTCCTGTGTCCCCCTGCCAGGCTCCTCAAACTCACTTCCCAAGGTATCCTCTGGATGCACCTCCTGGATGTCGATCTCAGGCTCAGAGTCACTGCCGGTTCTTCTAGCAGCGGGGCTTGGACGTGGCAGAACCAGGTCTCACTGGCTGTGTATAGGACGTACCAGATCGCCATATGCCCTCTCTCGGGGGTGACCCTGGCCAAAAAGGCAAGAGCGCCTGGCTGCCAGTCCAGATTAAGTCAACCAAGGGAGCTACCAGGCTCCTACAACTCTGGACTCTCATTTTTTTTTCTAATTACATAGAGCCCGATCTTCGATTTTTTCATTTTTAGGAATATCTCCACAACCTCCTCATCATTCATGTGGTGCTTCAGACAAACCCAAATATTTCCAAACCCCTTCAGGGTTAGGATTTCATGCCCCAGACAGTGCTGCCTCCTGTCCCAAAGTCCTCACAGGAGTCCCGAGGGAGCACAGGCCCCAACGCGCAGCGTGCTCTGCAGTGTCACCTCTGCTTGTCCTCCTCTGCCCTCGGTGCTTCCTGCCCACCTCGAGATGTATGGGGAAGTGTTCTCAGCCGGAAGGTCTCAGGGTGAAACGAGTCATCTCCTCCTACAAAGCTTCAGACACCAGCAACTCAGAAGCAGGAAAGCCGGACACTGACGCTCCCTTGTTCAGCGGTGCAGTGGTCCAGGCAGGGCTGAGCTGGCCCCAAGGGAGGCCTGGCCAAGTGCCAGGGGACCAGGTGACACACAGCTCCCACATATCCAAAGCCCAACCAAAGAGCGGAGGTGCTGTTGGAGATGACAGCAAGAGGCTATGCTATTAAAGAACACCCAGGTCATTCGATAGGGAGTCCTGATTCCCCGAAGCTTTCTCTAATCAAACCCTGGGAGAGTTCAACAGCAAAAGAAAAATCAGTAGGAAAGTCAGTGCCTTAAAGTTATAAAGAAGAACATGAAGCCTTAGCTCTAGTGGCACTGACTGAGGCTACTGCCGCCCCGTGAGCCTGGAGAAGTAGGCGAGTACAAGAAATCCCCTCTTGTTTTACAGAAACCCTTTTCCACATAGTATCTGAAGGATTCTCCTCCCCCTCTTCCTCCTCTTTCTCCCCCTCCTCCTCCATCTTCTTCTTTTGTCCTTTTGAGACAGGGTTTCACTATGAAGTTCTCCTTGGCCTTGAATTCACTTTGCAGCCTATGCTGGCTTCAAACTCACGGCGATCCTCCTGCCTCAGCCTCCTGAGTGCTGGGATTACAGGCATGTGCCACCCCACCTGACCTAAAGGATACTTCTTATCCACAGTGTCAAATGGATTCTTGGGGAGCTCTGAAGGGACATGCTCAGAGGGCCCTGCTCTCTGGAAGGAAATTGCAACCTCTCCTTCCCTTAGGGCATGGTCTGATAGCCCCCAGATGCCTCCTTAAACTTCCTTCCAAGGAAGTGGAAAAGCCACAGGACACAGGTGTCCCTGAGAGCTAAGACTGAGCCACATAAGGCGAATGACTTCCAGGTGGCAGAAACCTGCTCCCAAGTCCCTCAACTCAGCCTCAGCCGCGGTGGAGGAAGCCGTCCAGCCACCTTCGCAAAGCAGAACTCTTCCCCAGCCAGGGCCCTGCAGAAAGGGAACCAGCTTTCTGCTCACTCTGCGAGTTCTCATGAAGCTGACCAAATACGCCTGTTTTCTTGACTCAGGCTGTCCCCAAAGCCATTCACAGCCCAAGGTGGAGGCGACAGAACCGAGCTCTTGGGGGCTGGGACAATGAAGGCTGGCATCCAGAAAGAGGTAAGAAATGTGACCTACCAAAAATACCACAGCCTCTGTATGGAGAGGGCCCGCACACAGCACCTGGAACCACAGCAGTCCTCATAGGAGCGGCATCTGTCGGAGAGAGGGCACAGGCCGGTTACAGTCATGGTGAGGACAGCCAGCAGTCTCCCAGCCTGGCTGGGCTTCAGAGCAAGCCTTGCTGGAAGGAAAGTAACAACGGCCTTCCTTCCAGAGGGCGTCCTTCCCCAGCCAGCTCCTCGGCCAGCTCCACAACAGACTGTAGCAATGTGGAGCTGCACCTCTGCTCAGTCTTCAGTCCCTGTAAGTCCAGTGATGTTAGAAAGGCTTTGACAGTCAAGTTAGGAGGCCTAGTCCTGGACTTATCACTTACTAACTGTAAGTTGCTAGTCTCCGTGAGCCCCGCTGTCTTCATTAGCAAAGCGGATGGGATGGTGGGGGCCCTTCACAGTGCAGATTTAAGTTTTTAGGGCACCGTCCTCCAGAAAAGTCCAAGACATCATCCACATATAAAGTGCTAATGAGGATGACGATGACCTGTGCTGCCTCCTTCCATCTGACACGCCCCAGCCAAGGCTTCAGGGTCCCTGACAGGCACAGGCTTCTGTGACATGCCCAGGAGCTGTCCCTGCCAAGCCGAACCACCTGAGAGGCCTTCCCAAGGCGGGACCACTGCAGGTCTGAAGGAGCCACACATCTCCTTCAGGATCTCTGCCCTGCCAAACCTGTCTATCTGGGGGGAAGGGAAAATGCCCGAAAACTCAAATGCTTGTGTTTTTATTTAGAGAGAAGCTTTCCCTGGAGAAATCAGTCCTGGTGGGAGTGAGGTAGGAAGGTGTTATGTTTTGTGTCTGGGTGTCCCCCCAAAGCCTCATGCGGCCATGGGGCAGGCTTTTAGAGTTTGATTGATTATGGGTGTGAGAGCTACACCCGCCCTGGGGTGGACAGTTTGCATATGTAAGGAAGAGGAAGAGGGTGCTTCTGGCCATTTCCTCCCTTGTGTGTGTGCTTGTTGCTTTTGCTGTGTTCTGCCACCCTGAGCTGTAGCTCTCTGCCATGTGCCACTCTGCCTTGTAACCTGCCAAGTATGGACTGAAACCTCCACAAACTGTAAGTGAAATAAACCTTTCCTTCCTTAATTTTGGGCGTCAGGTATTTTGTCCCAGAAACGAGAGAAAAGTAACCAAGACAGAAGGGGAGGGGACACCTGTTTCTCAATAATATGAAACAATCACAAAATTATGATCTAGGCTCCTGCCCGCGTTTGTACTTTAAAAAAGGAACTAGAAGAAACACAGTTCAATCCAAGATTTGGGACACTAAATTTACAGATTGTTACAGCACGAATGGGCTTTTTTGGTATAAAGAAAATGTGCAGAGAGTCGCTGCCTGGGAAATATTGCTCAAACAGGCTGGAGCTGGAGGTGCTGAGCGCCGATCCTGATGCTTCTTGGTTGTTTGTTTTTCTTGTTTGTTGTTGTTCAGATTTCCTGTATGTTTCTTCCAGATTTTATTTTTTGAGTAACACATATTAGTTGTACACATTTGTATAATTTTTCAAATCAAAGCAGGTTAGATCGCTGAGGCTCCTGCGCTTGCTGCCTCTTTGCAAACATTCAGCAGCTGCTAAACCCTCTACTGAACAGACAGACATTCCCCAAACCACCACCTCAACGCACACACATAAAATGTCCCAGAGGGTGCGAGTATTTTCATACCCAGTCTTTCCGTGGCCCAAAAGCGTGAACCTCTACCTAGTACCCAAACTTCTCTGATTCAGTGAGATCCTCCTATAAGATAATGACCTAAGCTAATCTGTGTAACCTGATTTAACCAACCAGTGCCTACCACAGCTACCTAAACAAGTGCTTAAAATATTGCTGGTTCTCATAATCCATGCGTTCAAAACAGCCGCCCAGGAGCAGCTGAGAGCCCGCTCCATGATGGGTCCTGCAGCTGGCCCTGCCGCTAGAGCAATCAAGCCCAAGCGGGAACCCCTGCTGAGGAGCAGCTCTCTTTCCAAAAGAGGGGCGCAAACAATAACCTATAAAAACAGGATGGCATCACGCTCTGTGGTGACGAGTGAAGCAGTGTCAGCAGTGGAGAGCATGGGGCAGGCTAGTGGGTCGTGCAGTCCTAGGTGTGCAGGGATAACTCCCACAAGGCAAGGTCTCAGCACAGAACACACAGAAATCTTCCTGGAGACAACCTGAGAAGCAGGATGGTTTCAGTGTTTGGGGGCTGGGGGGCCCTCCAGTTCCCTCCACAGGCCCCACAGCTGCACACAGCAGAGCAGAGAGTTGGATGCCCAGTGTGAGGGCTGCTAAGTCTGCGCTAGGGCTCGATCAGCAAAAACCTGGCCCTGCATAACAGCACCCCGTGTCACCGTTGGTGGCCTCCCCTCAGCACTCTCACTCTTGGGCAGGTCATGCGTGCATGGAGGTGTGTACGCAGGGAGGGGCAGAGTTGAGTGGACATAAAGGACTGCTTGTTTTAGGGTAGGCGGTGTCAGACAATTAAGTGTAAACGGAAGAAACGGGACTGTATCCCAGCAGCATCTGCAAAGGGGGGCACTCTTGGTGACCGTGCGGGATTCTTGGTAAGTGTGTTAGTACGGTAGGCCTCGCAATCTTGACGCCTGGCATACACACTGTGCGTGTCCTCTTGTCTTGGGCATGGAGGGCCCTGTGGGTAGGATGGAATGGTCACCGTCACGTTCATGATTATGGGAGAGTATATGAGAACGGATGTAACACAAGGTCCGGCCACAGCAAATGGGAGATGGTGCTGCTGACTTGGAAAGCAGCTGCCATCTAGTGCCTGCAGGTGTGACTAGTCAAAACCGGAACTTCAGAGTGACCAGAAATGTTCCCAGAAAAGCCCACATCATTCCACAGTTAGCACAGAAATCATTAAAGGACTGACACAGTACACTGAGAGGGGTACTCGGCACAAGTACGAGGTCGGTTTGCAGTGATCTGCCCTGCCTACAGTGCTGACATACACAAGAACAGGGCTGCCCAGCTGCTGTGGTCTCACTGGTGGATTGTGAACTGAACATACTCCGTTGGATCTGGTAAGGGTGAAAAATCAGTTCATAAAAATCAGTGAACATCACGCATTGTTTTGTGAAATCCTATTTCTGCCACCAGACACAAAGCTACGTGTGTCCTAGGCTGTGTTGTACAGCATTTGTCTTCAAAGCTGCTGGTGAGACAACCCCAAGTCAGACATGGATAGCCTAAAGGTTCTGCTGGGTGTGGAATCGGCTTCTCTCACCTTCCCGGGAAGCTCTAGTTGGCCTCAGGCCCGAGTCACTTTCCTCTGTCAATCGTGCTGAGCTAACATTTCTTTCTGGTCTTTCCTGTTTCCTCACTGGGATATCGCTGTTTTGTTCCTAATTCTGCTACTCAATGTCCTGCAATGATCAAACTCTAGAAGAGCAACTCTCATGCAGACTTCAGTGGGAGCACACCCTGCTCATGAGGGGAGGGACGGCTCAGGCGGGTGAAGAACAGAGACGACACACACCCGGGCTTAGCAGCTACCAGGCTGAGACATTCCAAGTCCACGGCCGTTTCTCTTCTGTTGTTGCCTTTGCAACCACGATGTTTCCTACATCTCTCTCCCTCAACTGTAATTAGAGTTCCTCAGCTTGGGGCACAGTCAGGGGTGAGAAAAACATCAGAGGCCATCCAGTGCTGGTAACTAGGAACTTGATGTAAAAGAGGACAGCAGCACATATCTGTAATCCCAGCACTCTGGGAGGCTGAGGCAGGAGGATTACAAGCTCAGCCTGGGCAACTTAATAAGTCACTGTCTCAAAATAAAAATAAAAAAGAACCGGAGTTGCAGCTTAGTGTGAAGGCCTGACGCTTAATACCCAGTACCACACGGGACACACACACACACACACACACACACACACACGGAAAAGCACAAGTGGCAGGAGGGATACAGTAGGAATATAGAAATGAATTTAGTGATGGAATTGTCTTTCTGGAGCTGACTTATTCAAATGATTCATTTTCACAGTTACATCTACAAGGAAACATTTGCTGCTTTGAAACCTACGCCCTGCAGCATCCCATTTTCCTGTGTTACAGGAAGCAGACAAAAGTCCAGCTTTCTACACATTTAGAGCCCCAATCCAGAATTCCGAGAGATCTGGTATATTTACTATACTTCAGTATTTAAGAACTTGATGTATAGACTACTCACCCCTCAGCCGGAGAATCATCTGTCTTAGAGTATAAGGCTCACAATGGATTGTGAATTCCTGACTCAAATTTCTCTTAGCTGGCAATAGTCAACACTCAAGTGGTGAAGCTCACTTTTTAGGGTCCAGCATTGAAATGCCAGCAGCAAATGCACACTGTTAACCAACCCCCTGCCTTCCTCTCTCCACACAAAGCCCATTTTCTGCTCCCTTCTCCCGCTAAGAGCCCCTTAGCTCTGAGTGTGCTGGGAGCTTGTCTGCAGTTCTGGTCCAGCCCCCAGCCTGGTGCTGCAAAGTGCCAGCCACTCAGAGGAGTGCACGATGACCCCGGGGGACTGCTCATACCCCTTTCCCTCTGCTGCTTCCTTTCAATGAAGCCGCCGGCAAACTGGGGTCCTAAGCACACACCTGCTGACATTTCAAATAGCTGCGATTATAAACAAAATTTCAGCTCTAACACCATGCTTAATTAAAGCAGCAAACATGACTGGGTCATCAGGCACATTAAATAAGCCGATCGTCCAACGTGTCAAGTGCTGCTCGTGCCCTAAGCCTGTAATGGCATCTGTGTTTCAAAAGTTGTCAGCAAGTCTAAACTAAATGAAGAACAGATCAAGATGGAAACAACAGAACAAGATTTTCCCTCATGCTCTGTGTGCCAGATGCACAGATTCTCAGACTTGTGGTATAAAAGAACAAACATCGCTCTTAACTGAAACTACCCTTCAGCAAAGCTAATTATAGCCCTGGGACTCAAATACACAGCACCCTGTAAGAGTGGAAAGAGCCTGTACTTTGGCAAAAATGGGCTGCTGAAACTGCTAGGGTCAAGAGCAGATTTCTCTGAGGTCCAAGAATGGGGCTGTCCCCTCGA